TATGGCCAGTACTTACACAGCATAGAGCCGTAGTTACGGTATTGACTATCGCCAGTACTTACACGGCTTGTAACCGTAGTTACAGTAGTAATTATGGCCAGTACTTACGGCTTGGAACCTTAGTTACAGTAGTAACTGTGGCCGGTGCCTAAAAGTGTCAGCCAAACGGCTGCCCACTAGATAATATAATATTGGGAGGATGAAATCCTCCTTAATGGCCACACATGCAGAGCACACATCACACAGTGAAGATTGTTCTCTGCATATCGTCCTAGTAATAGGAGTCTAGTACTAGGAGTCTAGTACTAGGAGCAGTAAATACAACGATATAGCGCTACTGCAACCATACCATGCGTTTACCGCTGAATTAAATAATGAAGCTTAACAGTACATGCAAGGTGTTAGCCAAGCGGCTGCTGCTAACAATCAAGCAACCAAGTCAGAACACAATGTTAAGACCAGATAATTAGCTTCTAAGAAAGAGAACAGCCCGCATAGAACCGTAGGCCATGGTTACAGTAGTAACCGCACATGCGGAGCACACAGCACCCGCAGTGACGATGTTCTCTGCATATCATCCTAGTGCTAGGAGTCTAGTACTAGGAGCAGTAATACAACGATCTAGCGCTACTGCAATCAAACCCTATGTTACCGGAAGCGGGAGCACTGCCCTCACCGGCTGAGTTAATAGTTAAGCTTAACAGCAAGGTGTTAGCCAAGCGGCTGCTGCTAACAATCAAGCGACCAAGTCAGAACACAAATGTTAAGACCAGATAATAGCTTCTAAGAAATAGAAAGTACTTACCTTACTCTCTGCATCTAAACTAAAAACGGGTTAAATTGAATGAGGGACACAGCCAAAGCTGGGACTCAAATGCTAATGATAGCTCGGGCACAACGCCACAAGCAGAACTTTCAAAAGAGCATAAGGGCAACTTTATGGGAGAGGAAGCGGGAACACTGTCGTCACCAGAAAGTCTAAGCCAAACAAAAAATAAGACAGCAATCAGGACAACTTGGCTGGGAGAGGGTGCGGGGACACAGCCATCACCAGCAACAAGCTGACACCAACCTGTCTGTCGAGGCTCTGCACAGCCGGCCACAGCTCCTGGAGGACGCGTTAACGACCCGTAGCTCCGACTGTCAGTCACGAAGCTGCACGCGGCCAGCTGCTTGCAGAGAAATCCCTCAGATCAAAACGTTCAAACCTGAACGCTGTAGGCTACAAAAATGTAGCCATGGTAGGTACCCTCGCGCAGCGAGAAGATGAAAGGAACAGATCCTCTGACGACACCGGCTGATATAGCCGGTGTCATTGATTGATTGATTGAATTGATTGAAAAGTTTATTAACAGCTTGTATATTGGGTACAGTACAGTACAGCTCAAAACATACAATTGTTAAGGGGATGCAGACCAGAGAAAGACTTTCGTCTTGTTTACATCAGGGTCCCCCATTTCCACACAGGTCACAGGTGACTTTGTTGGTATTGGTACTCGAGCTGCGCATGCGCGCGATGGACATATCCAGTGCTGAAAGCACCGCCTCTGGCGGTCAGTAGGGATGAAATAGAACTTTCATTGTGTTTCAAATCTCTTTTAGTTTTAAACCTGATGTTTATAAGCTTCTTAGTTTTTGCAACAGTCTGTAAATATACACAACTTTATAATAAAATGCACACATTTACCTTTTTCTAGACTAAACACAGGTATGATCCTAAGTTAAAAACATATGAGGTTATCATGAGGTTGTTAACACCGCAGTTTATCAGTGGATGTTTGCTGGAACTACTTGTAAACAGCGTGTTTCCCGACGGACACACACAGCGTGACTCCGGTCAGGTAGAGACCGGTCTCAAGTCAGCACCGCTGCAGACTCGCTGTTTGAGGGCTTGATAGCCCACTCCCCCTCCACACCGCTCCACACTCGTTGGTTTGGAACAGCACTTAATGTGGCGGACCCTCCTCGCGAACACGTAGGGGTAGGGTGTAGGGGGCGGTTTGGGATTGGGCCTTAGTCTTGTCTTCCCCTCTTCTCCATGTCTGTTCGTCGTCTCGTAATGTCTATGATACCTGCCTCGTCAATGCTCGTCTATGCTTGTCCATGTCACCTGCCTGTTCCCGTCTCTACGTTTGTTCTTGTCGTGCTCCCCGCTTTTGTTTTTGTTAAGTAGTTTCTTGTTTTCCCCTGTCTTCGGATTTTTTGTTTAATAAAGCTCGCTTTTTGTTACCAAACCTTTTTTTGTATTTTTAACTGCACTTGGGTCCTATTTTCCCCAAACCTGACAACACACTTTCACTGTCAGCAAGTCACCCGCTCTTGTGCATTCTACACACCCACCAGAGAGTGGATGAATAATGGGTTTTTCTGTGTGTGTGAGAAAGAATACACAGCATGGGAAATTAGTGTGAAAGAAATAAAAAGAGGCAGACAGAAAGAGATGGGAACCACAAAGAGAATGAGAAATGTGTTTTTGTGTAAAGGAATTTTTAAGTGTGTGTCGGTGGAGCAGAGGAAGAAGCAGTGTGTTGATGGAGAGATCAAAGGTAGAGCAGGCTTCAGCTCGCAGGAAGCCACAGACTCTGTTTGGATTGATTTGGAGTCTGTTGAAGCTCAAACAGGGAGCAGAGCAGATTCATGTCATCACTGAGTGTTTGTAGTGGACCTTTTGAGTTGGGTTGTATGTCTGTGTTGAGCTTCAGGATGCAACCCAGTCTCACAGAAGTTCCTGAAATGGTGTTTTGATTGGTGTGGATGTACAGATGTTCAGTTTTTTTTAGGCAAGAATAACTATTTTCAAAATAATGTTTTTCAATTGGAAGAACCCCTATGCCTGCACTGTCTTTTTGTCACAAGAGTAGGGTCTCAGGAGACTGAAGCTGTTTTGTTTTTCCGGATTGCTGGATTCAAGTAATTTTGTAGTGATTTGCATAGGTGGCCCAGGGGTTAGCGGGACAGCGGCCTAAAACACTTCCATTAGGAGAAATGCGCTGCAGCTTCAAAAACAATGCAAATTTAAAAACAGTGTGTGTGCCAAAAGACAAGATTCATCTTCACCAACTTGACAACACATGCAACATTTAGAAAACATTCACCAACTTGACAACACATGCAACATTTAGAAAACATTCACCAACTTGACAACACATGCAACATTTAGAAAACATTCACCAACTTGACAACACATGCAACATTTAGAAAACATTCACCAACTTGACCAAACATGCGCAGTGTTAACTAAAAATAGTGTTATATTATTTTAACAATGTGATCGCATGACTCCTTACGGTATAATTGCAGATCAGCTGTAGGCTAGCTAAGGTGGCCAACCTAGTCATTTCAAATATACTGACAAAACACTTACTGTTATGAAACCGACAGTGACAGATTATGAACTTTATCATCAGCAAGTGCGCCTGTCCCAGCTGTGTGCGTCACCTTTTGATGTCCCCTGGTTACCGTTGTTTGAGCTTCTTGCAGCATTTATTATTTGCAGTGTTTTGTGTTGGCAGCGGTTTGTTCTCTCACTAAAACTTTGCAGCACTGTTAGAAGACGCTGCATATTTTTCGTCAGGTTGGTGAATGTTTTTAAACGCTGCCCATGTGTTGAGATGGTGAAGATGTTTCGTCTTTGGCATATGTTTTGGCCCATTTGTGCTTTTATATATGAAACATTTCTGGAGCTGCAGTGCGTTTCTCCTATTGGAAGTGTTTGGGCCCTGTCAGCCACTGTAGATTTTTCTGCCTGTGTCCTTCTACAATGTGGCCTTTTTTAATAATTGTGATCAAGGTGTTATGGCATCTGTGGCGGTGGCTCCGACGTACACGTTTTGCAATGATATCAGACTACATCTGCATATTATTTATCATCCTACATGGCTGTAGTTGTTTTTAGGACAAGGGTTGAGAGGGAGCTGTAATGACATGCTACTGACTGTTGGAATAAACAATTACTATGTCAAATGATTTCCAGGGGGGGGACAAATGACATTGCCCACTTGAGCAAGTTGTTATATTCATATGGTATGAGCTGTAATTTAGAATTTGCTACATTGTCATAAAGGTCAGAGGTTAGGATGATGAAATACTGCACTGTGGTGCAGAACTGGAAGTATAAGAGCTTCATTCTGCTGTTCATGACAAATCTGATAAACAGTAAGACCTAAGGGGAGACATCCCTTGTTATTGACTAATAGATCTTACCATGTAATTCCCTCAGTGACATTAAGGCAATTATTTTCAAACCAAATATCTGAACAGTAGATAAAGCCAGGTCTTTGTGATTTAAATCAATCATCCCATAAGTAAAAATAAATAATACTGGTGAGGTTGGTGTAAGTCAGTGTTTCTTAAACTTTTTCATTCCAAGGACCACTTAACCAATAAAAAAACACTCGCGGACCACCTAACTCCACAAATATCAAAAAACACATCGTTTTTCTAGAACAGATTACAAATCGCCTGAAAATGGTACAAACAAGTGGCAACATGTGTGATGAAGGTGTTGCGCTGGGCTATATCATGCAATCGAAAGTGAAACTTAACCTCGCTCCATTGCGGAGATATTCCCGCGAGAGTGCGGAAAACTTAAATGTATTTATTTATTTCAAATGTGAAATGTTACCAATATACTCGCGGACCACTAGGGGGCGCTCACGGACCACCAGTGGTCCGCGGACCACACTTTGAGAAGCACTGGTGTAAGTGAAGATCTATGAAGATAAAAAGAAACATATTTTTGTACTGTACCATTCTAAACAGTTTGTAAGACACTAACAGCCGATGGTGAAATAAAAATATGTTGCACATAAAAAAAAAAAAGCAATACAAAAAAAGTAAATATTTATTTATTTGAGTTCTTTGACTTGTCTAAAAGAGGACATTTGGAAGCTAAATAACTCAAAATCTCCAGAGCATGAACATGTTTCCCCTGAGAGTGTCCCCCTAAGGACGGTTGTCTCACCCTCACCTGGTGTCCTGATGTTCTCTCTGGACTGCAGAGCAGCTGAAGGCTCCGCTGGAGGAATACGTCAACAAGCGCTACCCCGGCCTGGTGAAGATTGTCAGGAACCAGAAGAGGGAGGGGCTGATCCGGGCCCGGCTGGAGGGCTGGAAGGTGGCCACCGGAGAGGTGACCGGGTTCTTCGACGCACATGTGGAGTTCACCCCGTCCTGGTGAGTAATCTGGCATCCCCTTCTTCCTTTTCAGGGAAAATGAAGCTAACCCAATAGTGTACAACCTATTGCATTACAAATCAGGATAACAGTCATACACTAAACATATAAAACAGACAACGGGTTTAACAGAATCGTGAAGGAGACGACAAGGTTTAGCAGGAGCAGCATGAAGCCAACACACAAAAAGCAATTTCACACCTGAGAGGTTTTAAGATAAGCAGAGAAGGGAGGGCATCAGGTTTAAAAGAGACCGTAGGACTTATATCCCATCAAATAAAAAACATAATGCTAGCGATAAAAGAGGAAATTGCCCAGAAGCCTTATCATAAAAGTACATTATAAGGAATCATTTAAACAAATTAAACAGACGTGAAGGCTAGACAACATTTTTGCAACCTCGCGCTGATAGTTGTTTCTAGGCCTCCTTGTTTTACAACTCAGTGTGCACTTTCAAGTATATACACAACCCAGTTCACTGGGCATAAACCGACACATGCCCTCCGGAGCTGCACTGAGCCGAATCAAATGGAATTACTAATAAAGTAAACTTGAGGGAGCTTCTAACTGAAGTGGGTGAGAGAGGGGAGATCTGAGGAGAGGCTCAGCGCTGTCTGTCTTTTAGTGTGTTTGTATGATGTGTGTACTCCGTCCTCAGGGCCGAGCCGGTTCTGGCCAGAATCAAAGAGGACCACACGAGGATTATCCTGCCGTCCATCGACAACATCAAGCACGACACGTTCGAGTTGGAGCGCTATGAGAACTCGGGCCACGGCTACAATTGGGAGCTGTGGTGCATGTACATCAACCCCCCCAAACAGTGGTGGGACTGAGGGGGACACATCGGCTCCCATCAGGTAGGCAGAACACATTCATGTAAACATAAAGTGGATAAAGCCTTCACAAACAACAACAAACCGGAGAGAAATCTTTTTATTTACTCTTTTTATGATTTTCTTTTTTTTCTTAAATTCTTTAATTTGAGTTAGACAGAGTTTACATTAGTTTGTGCAGTTCCGTCTATGCAGTGATCCATGTTTTTTTCCCAGAATTATAACCAAAAACTAATTCATTATGATTATCATAAAAAAAATCCATAGTGTTTGGAAGAATCTGATGATTTGATGCAGTTCATGTGTCCGGACATTATCATCCTATCATTCCCTTGGGATAAGTGAAGAAAATAAGCTGTGAATAGTATTTTTATAATGTCATATTTTACCCAGGTATTTGTTCAGTGTTGGATTCAGAATAACTTTAACTGTTAATAGATCTTTGTTTGTTGCCAGCCTCAAATGTTATTTTATGTTTTTTCTTTTTTCCTATCAAAGGTTCAGAATTACATTCACAAAACCACATCTCATAAATGAGGTGTTAATGTTCACTTGTTTTCCTCATGGCAGGACTCCTGCCATGATTGGCTGCTCCTTCGTGGCCAATCGCAACTACTTTGGCGAGCTGGGCCTACTCGACTCCGGCATGGACGTCTACGGAGGAGAGAACATCGAGCTGGGCATCAGGGTGAGTGTGTTGCCCAGTTTCCTCTTGTTCCAGCTCTCTGTACCCTGTGGCTTAGAGTGGAGCAGCGGCCTGTCGCGTGGCCCCGCTGATGAATGAGGTCCATTAGGAGTCCTGGAGGACCCGGCCCGTGTGCACCCCCCAGTAGGGCAATGCAGATAAATGGGTCACATAGAGCAGTGGTTCTCAAACTTTTTTCAATAATGTACCCCCTTTGAAAGCCCATAAAGAGGTACAGTACAGCGCTTTTTTCATTAACATAAAATAAATCTCACGTACCCCCTGCAGTACTCCAACGTACCCCTAGGGGTCCGCGTACCCCCATTTGAGAACCACTGACATAGAGGGAAGGTTGGACAGTTGTTGTACATTTTTAGAGATAGGCAGTGCAAAGACATGCATGATAATCCCTCCAATATTTAAAACCATCAAAATACATGTACACATCGGGGGGTTCATCCAACAATTTCATAATTTCTTTATTTTTATTTAACCAGGAGAAGTCTCATTTAGATTTGAGAATACTCTTTTGCATGAGAGTCCTGGCCAAGATAGGCAGCACCACAGTTCAGAACATGAACAACAAAGGCAAGGCTAGTTTATAGCACCTTTCAACACAAGGCAATTTAAAGTGCTTTACAAAAATGAAAGACATTAAGAGCATTAAGAAATAGTGCAGCGGAAACACATTGTAAAATGGCATTTAAAAACGGTCATTATCAAGCAAAGAAAATAAAAAATACATGAATAAAAGTTACAGTGATGTGTAAGATGTGAATAGTTCAATTAAAAGCAGCGACAAAAAGAAAAGCCTTCAGCCTGGATTCAAAAGTAGTAAGAGTTGCACCGGACCTGCATGTTTCTGGTAGTTTGTTCCAGACAGGAAGCCAGTGTAAAGACCTCAGAACTGGAGTGATGTGATCCACTTTCTTAGTGTTAGTGAGGACTCGAGCAGCGGTGATCTGAATCAGCTGCAGCTTTCGGTACCACTTTACAATACGACCACCCTTATAATGGATTCATAAAGGGTTTATAATTAGGTTATTAATTAGGTGGTAAACACTTTATTAATCATTAAGAACCATTTATAAACCAGTTCTAACATAGTTTTCATACATCAACACAGGCTCACTATTTGGCAAGATGACTAAGCCTTATATTGGCTACTTAGCGAGAATCAACTCAGTGAGCAACAGATACCAAGGATGCTGGCTGATGAAGAAGACGAAGTAAGCTAAATAGCCAATATAAGGCTCAGCAGTACAGATATATGTGGGCTCACTATTTGGCAAGCAACCGGTCACAGTTGCCCTGTTTATCTCATGTCTTATAAAAGCTTATTAATGATTTATTAATGAAGTGTTCACAACCTAATTAATAAATGAATTACAAACTATTCATAAACCCTTTATATAGGTAGCCTTATTGTAAAGTGGTAACCAGCTTTCTAATATATTTTTTAGTGTTTTAGTGAGACCTTTAAAGACACCACTACAGTAGTCCAGTCTACTGAAGATAAAAGCATGGACAAGTTTTTCCAATCCTGCTGTGACATTATTCTTTTAAACCTAGATATGTTCTTTAGGTGATAGTAGGCTGATTTAGTAACTGTTTTAATGCGACTGCTGAAACTCAGGTCAGAGTCCATGACTACACCTAGATTTCTGGCTTTATCTGTTTTTTTGAACATTGCCTTCTGAAGCTCAGCGCTAACTTTTATTCGTTCCTCCTTGGCTCCAACAACAATTACCTCAGTTTTATCTTTGTTTGATCGGAGAAAGTTCTGACACATCCAGTCATTGATTTGAGTGCTTGAATTGGAGCATAGTCTCCTGGTGAAATGGTTATGTACATTTGTGTGTCATCTGCGAAGCTTTGGTAACTTGTTTTGTTGCTTTTCATTATCTGAGCCAGTGGTAGCATGTCATCATTTTCCCAAGATGGCGGCAGGCAGTTCTGGTGCAGTGGCAGCAATCTATCTCTGTATGATTGTCCTAAATCTCAAACCTCTGTGTAGCTACAGCACTCATCTTGCCCCCATGGAAAATCAACATGTTGAGGATACATCATTATCTGCACCAGCAACATCGTTGAATATCAAGCACTTCGGCCATGGTCGGCATATTATCTACAGTTCATTCATCTGGCACTCCTGGCAGGCTCTCTCAAACAAAAAAAAGGGTCTAAAACGAAAAGAGGAGAATATTGGGCTATTGGCTCTGCTGTGTCTCTTGCTCTCGGGAGATATCCACCCGTGTCCGGGTCCCGGCGTCGTTTCCATCGACCTGACAGCTGCCGACCTAGCAGCAGGACCTCCACCCACACCGTGGGAGGACTACGGGTCCACGCCGAGGGCTAGCGGCCTAGCAGCGGAGATTCTCGCATCACCGGACACCACCGGACTGGCTTCAGAAGAGGCCGGCTAGCTGAACAGCTAGCTCTGCCGGCGGGTCTCATACCTCATACACACCAACGGTGTTTCAGGGCCGGTTCGGAGCTGGAGCTTGAAAAGCACCGGGTTTTCCTGTTCACACCGCAGCGGAGCAGCCTCTTAGCTCCGGAATCCGGTTCATTTCGAGCACCAAAAAATTATCCGGCCAGAGCAAAAGCACCACATACGTCACGCTTACGTCGAGGCGGGGGCAGGGGCGGGATCAACTCCTGAACAACAACAAAAAGCCGGCGTTTTATCCAGTTTGTACACAACGATGGAGAAACGTAACAAGCAGCAGTGGTCCACTGAAGAGACCAGCTACCTACTGGGAATCTGGTCTTCCGAAGAGGTACAGAGGAAGCTGGAACACAATCGGCCATTGTTGTTGTTGTCGGTGTCAGCTGTGAGGGGTTTCCGCGCGGTTTGGCTTCATGAAGCAGGCATGCAAACGGTTACGTCATGACGCAAACGATGACGCAATGACGCAGCACCAGTCGGACTCTGGGCAGTGTGAAAAGAGCCGGAGCTAAACCGAAGAACCGTTCTGAACCTGAAAAGCTCTAGCACGGAGCTTGAACCGGAGTTGCGTTGGTGTGAATGAGGTATCTGTGGTCTTGCGCTGACGGCTGCTGGCCTAGCAGCAGGACCAATATCCACACCATCGGAGGACTGGGGGCCCGCACCGAGGGCTAAAAGCACAGCAGCGGAGAACCATGCATCACCGGCTGGCTGCACACAAGGCCGGCTAGCAAAACAGCTAGCTTGGCCGAAGGATCTCTGTGGGCTCGCGCCGGCGGCTGCTGGCCTAGCATCTGGACCAACATCCACACCATCGGAGGACTGCGGGACCGCGCCGATGGTGCAAGCCGAAGGGACTATTCAGTGGACATTTACATTTCCGCAGCATCTGCAATAAACATGAACAGCTAGAACATCGCCGCCTTGAGTCCAATATTGACTGTTTGGGAATATCGGAATCTTGGCTAAAACAGTCGTCACCATCCACTCTTGTATCTATGTCAGGATGTGTTTAGGAACAGTGATGCAAACACACGTATGGTGAAAAAAGAGAGAATTATTCGAAGCAGAAAAAAAACAGCGTAATATACCATCTGACAAAAGCCTGTGCTATAATGCTTCAATTAACTGGCTATTCTTTATAATATACTCAGATCAATAGGAGACAGAAATGTTAAGTTATAAATCAAGGGTTTTTATTATTATTTACAGCAGGGGTGGGGAACCTTTTTCCTTTCAATTTTTACAACATCCTCCGAGGGTCGTACAAATGATTGAACTCAACCTCTGCTTAAAAAAACTAAAATCACAGCCCATTAATTTCACCTTTCTTTCATGCTGTGCAAATAAAAAGCAACCTCTTAATCCAGATATCTCACCATGACTCGGTTGTGACAGAAATATATGGACACAAGATGTGTGCAAATGTATTTAGTATCCTATCCATGTGAACATGATTTAAGTGGGGGGGGGGCTAACCTCCTCTAGGGGGGTCCGAGGGCATGCTCCCCCGGGAAGATTTTTTTTTTTAAATATTGAAGTTAAATGCATCAATCTGGTGCACTTAGAGAGCAAAATTAAGAGATCTATGGATACATCTCTCAACACCCATATGAAACAGAACTGTAACCAGATTCTTCTTTTTGGATATTTTACAAATCACATTTAAACTCTATTCTTGTTATTTTTAACAACTTTTTTGTTACTGTCATATAGTATTTTACACCTGTTTTTCATTTAGTCTCTAATGTCTCATTAATAACTATAATGATCATATTAATGTGTGCCTTAACCTCACTGAGCTGAGGTTATTTGAGCCTCTCAGGAGAGAGCTCTCTTCCACCTGGTTGTAGAAAAGCTCTTTAAATTCGTTAGCATAGCTAGCTAACCAGATGCTAATAACAACAGATCGCCGCTGTGCTTACAACTAAAGACACAGCCACGCAAACACTACGGTGTGTACGGCTCCTTATGGGTACTGCAATATTTGAAGAGCTGGAGCGGCGTTCCGGTGCTCTCCGTCAGCACTCTAGTCTACACTACTGGTCGACATCCGGTTTCGCTATGAGTGGTCGCATTTTCGAGAGCTCACGATTTTTTACATATTTCATCCTCCTGACAATATGGATTATGGACTCCTACCTCAACTCATCAATGAGGCAACATCACTTAGAGAAGGAGAGTAATGAAAGCGGGGATAAAATGAACCACAATGACTTTTACCTTCTCAACGGCTGGGAAAGGAAACACCTCGCTTTTGGAAGTGCAAGCATTCATGCATTATTAACTGCAAACCCGACGCGAAAGTACATACCCCCGTCAGGCAAACTAGACCGAAGAAGTCTGATCGTCTTGGTCTTATTGTTAGCGGGAGACATCCATCTGAATCCGGGCCCGGTGCAGACAAGAAGCCAGTCCTGCAGGCTCGAGGAGCTAGCATCACAACTAGCATCACAACTAGCATCTCTTCCGCTGCAGCAACAACTACACGACGACAACAGAGACCGTGGAGACAGCGGAGACCGAGGAATTAACGGAGACTTCGACATTC